GACTTGATGCTGTCAAAGAGAAGGAAATGAAAATGGAGGAGAAAGGCAAGGCATTTGACTACAAAGATGTGTTCAGGCTAAAAGTCATTAAGAGAACACGGGCATATTCGGGCTTGTGTTTCAGAAGAGAATATTTGTATGCTGTGGTGCTAGACTGTGAGGACAAATTAAAAACATATTTAAAACCTGACTTTTAAAATTCATGTCATTTAGGACCACTTGCTTAAGTGAATCTTTCTTGTTTCTCCTCCTCCTCCTACCTCTTGCTCTTGCTCCTCCTCTTCTTCTTCCTCCTCCTCTTCCTCCTCTTCCTCCTCCTCCACTTCCTCCCTCTTGTTTATTGTGCCAGTCCCAGGGCTTGAATTAGGACCTGGTCCTTATCCTTGAGCTTTTTTTCTCAAGACTGGCACTCTTCTACTTGAGCCACAACTCCACTTTTGGCTTTTATTTTAGTAGTTTATTGGACATAAGTATTTCATATTTCTTTCCCAGGAACTGCAATTTTCAGATCTCAGCCTTCTGAGTAGCTAGAATTACAGACATGAACCACTGATGCCCAGCTGAATCTCTTTTCCTATATGACCTAAAAAATAGAAATAACTACATTTTCTATAGGATTACATAGGGGATAACACTTGACACCATTACTGGGGTTCTCAGACTTTTGAAACTCAATCTACTTTTCTCCATTCTATAAATCAGTATAGTAGGTTTCAAAGAATTAAATTCTCCCCCAGAAACAAATCTCTCACAATAATAAATGACGCATTTTCAGGGGCTCAATTGTACAGTATATCCTTAACATGAGTCACCCTTGAGTTCAATCCCCAGCACCAAAAGCAAGCCTTCAAGTTATCTTGAAATTATGGCTTCTGATTTGACCATACATCCAGTGAAAAAGTACATGCACAATACCTGAACGTCTCACACTTATAAAGAAGTGGTAGCAAATTTCTTCTTATGGGCGATGTGAGGGGTAGTTTCATATCACTAATTGTAGAAGTCATCATAGGCACTCTGTTGAGAAATCTTGATGTTACAGTTACATTGAAAATAGACAAGGTGTGAGGATAGTTATGTGAAGTCACTGTGGGGAAAGGACAAAGGAGACAGAGTTAAATAATAACAGAGAGTGTGGGGGGGGGGGAGAAGACAGAAACAAGAGTATACCAGTTTGAGAGTGGGGAAAGAAAGCTGGGCAGTTAAAATTCTTCCCTAGACCAAGTAGTATACAAGGGCAAGTACTGTACTGTGCACTTTGAATACCTTGCTAGTGCACAGGATGCACTTAGCAGGTGTTTGTTAGAATAAAGTTTGGAAACCAAATGTACTGGTTATAGAAATTTGAGAGGTGAGGAAGATAGATTCAAGGAAAGCAATACCAAGGACTTCTTGGAGTTTGTAAACAATTGACAAAGAAGAAATGTAAAACAAAAATGAAATCAAAGTTGAGGCCAGCTGCTGGTTTCTCATGCTGTAATGCTAGCTATTCAGGAGGCTGGGATCTGAGGATGGCGGTTCAAAGCCAGCCTGAGGCAGGAATGCCTGTGAGACTCTGATCTCATTTAAAACACCAGGAAACCGGAAGTGGTGCTGTGGCTCAAGTGGTAGAGCGCTTACCTTGAACTGATAGAGCTGAGGGTCCATGTCTAGGCCCAGAGTTCAAGACCCATGACCCACAAAAAAAAAAAATCAAAGCTGAAGATCATTATTTTCCAATTTTTAACTTAAAATAATCAAATCATAATCTACTAGTTACCTTTTATAACCATTAAAATTATTATACCTGTAGCTCCCACCTTATAAAATTTTAATGTAAGCAATGAGATATTATTAGATTTTTACTAAGTAATCATTTATAAGTGCAGAAGGAAAAAAGCTACATATTGCTAGAAAACTGATTAAATAAATTCTGATGATTCCATACAAATGGGGTCATATGCATCCATTAAGGGAAAATAATACAGGTGTTTTGTAAGAATTGGTGTGAGCCGGGCGCTGGTGGCTCACGCCTGTAATCCTAGCTACTCAGGAGGCTGAGATCTGAGGATCGCGGTTCAAAGCCAGCCCGGGCAAGAAAGACCATGAGACTCCTATCTCCAATAAACCACCAGAAAACCAGAAGTGGCACTGTAGCTCAAGTGGTAGAGCGCTCGCCTTGAGCTGAAGAGCTGAGGGACAGCGCCCAGGCCCAGAGTTCAAGCCCCACGACCGACAAAAAAAAAAAAAAAAGAATTGGTGTGGTGGAAACTTTGCTCCATTTTCTAGGAAGAAAACCAAGAGCAGAACAATATATGTAAATTGTGTGGGAAATACATTCTTACATGCTTGAAATAAATAGGCTACCTCTGGAATAATTGGATAATTTTTTAAAGATTTAGTAAATGACACTGTGTCCTGGGGAGAAATATTTTGGGTAAAGCAGCAAGAAAGAGGAAGAAGGGAAACTTAATTTCAAGTGTTTACAGTTTTTGCATCTTTAGCAATAGGTTCTGTCTTCTATGTCATCAATCCAGAAAACAAAAATAATTAACAAAATCCAGCAAGCCATTTTTTCCATTTCATATGATGTCTAATTCACTTTTACTTCATGAAAGTGACTGTTAATGAACAATGTTTAATTTCTGAAACTCAAACAACTTGTACAAACAGTGGCATATTTACTGAAATAATCCTTCCTTGTTTGTCTTTCTGCCTGTAACATGTGTAATTTTTTTCTATGGCCACGTCTGGGAAAAACAAAGTTTGCCAACTCCTCTCCTACCTTGACTAAGAATGGACTGTCTAGTTCATTTCTCACATTGTACAACTGATCTCTACCACTGTACCTTACTATTTACCTGTTTGTACTCAGCACAAAACTTCCTAGCATCATGAGGGACTTTGTATGTCTTATTCATATTCATTCTGGTTCTTACTATAGTTCTAGCATAGTAATGGACTCTTTAAATATTTATTATTGTTAAGTAAGATGAATGACTAGATTATACTCACAGACTATTTTAGAGTTTGGTAAGCAAGTTGCTACCTCCCACCCCTGACAGTGGCCTTAACCACCAGCAGAGCATGCTCAGTAGATAACAAGCAATGGTTTATTGCATTTTATTTAAATTGACTTGAAGGTAAAGAGTTAAATAACTCCTAGGATACAAAGCAGAACAACTGACTGTTCAAATGGGAGCTTAAGAATACATTTGCAATCTCAACATTAAAATAATTTAAAGTTGTATAAAGTAAAAAAAAATATCAAGGAGGTTTATGCCAAACAAAAAACTAGTAAGCCTAAATAAATCTTTGAGAAAATAGCACATTACGCTCAAGAGAGAAGCCATGTATCAACAGCTCATGCCTCTATCCTAGCTAAGCAAGAAGTGTAGATCTGAGATCAGGGTTCAGAACCAGATCTACTGGAAAAGTTCACCACTCTTATTTCCCATTAACTTGCAAAAGCTGTAAGTGGAGAGCTGAGCAAACAAGTCAAGAAAGAGCATGAGGGGAAAAAAAAGAAAAACAAAAAAGGAAGAGCATGAGGCCCTCAGTTCAAGCACCCAACTGCTAGGGAAAGAAAAAAAGAAGACAAAGGAAAAGAAAGAGAGAAAGAAACTGTATATCAAGTAAATATGGAAAGAAGGCAAAGAAAACAACAATTGTATTAAGAGAGAGCTAGAAGCACAAGATCCAAAGGCAAGCATTTTTCTTAGAGATGAAAGCCATTATCATTCATTATTTTTCAGATCCCAGTTAATTTGGAATAAAATCTAAAAAGAATTGCACACACACACACACACACACACACACATTGAGCTATGTGTAGTATTCTAAATCAAATTGGAATACCAGATAGATTACACAAATGATGAAACATAGGTTGCAAAACATAATCACATGGGAGGCTGGAGGGGGGGGCGGGGGAGGCTGGGAAGGGATGTGAAGGGTAAACAAAGGAAGAGGCTGCAATGCTTGATAAGAAATGTACTCATTATCTTGCCCATCTAATTGTAACCCCTCTGTACAGTATGTTCACAAAAAATAAAAATTAAAATTAAAAAAAAAACAAGAAAACAATCACATGATACTCATTATCCTCTTTAATTTTTACAAAAAAATGAAAAGAAACATAATCACCAAAGAGAGCACATGATGACATAGCTTTTTATTGGAAATTATATAAATAAGTATGGTTGAAGAAGAATGTCATGAAAGAAAAGGGATGCTTTTGTCTATATTAGGGAAAAGAAGGCTCATGGCTACAGAAAGGATAGGTGGAGATGAAGAGAAAGCAGAAACAGAGCTCATGTCTCCAGCCTTTATGTTCATAACACTGGAGAGGGGCAAATCTGCAAAATTAGATGGATAAATTAGAAATGGATTCATCACATGGAAAGCGTTTGAATAGCATTAAGCAAAATCTGTTTGATCAAGAAACCATTAAAACCCTAAGATATGTATTTAAATGTTTTTTTTCTTTCATGCATTTGTTTCTAACGCATTTATAAGATTATTTCTTTGTTGCTTTGTATATCCCTCCCCCACAGTATAACCCCTGCTTTCACTGTATTTGATGTCGGTATAATTTGTGGAGGGTAAGGGGAAAAACAAATCATTTAAATAGGGATACAGGTGGACCCATTACAACAATGAGATGTACAAGTCATTATGTCAAAAATGAACTTTACAACTTTCATGCGGGGTGGGGGGGGACGTAGGGAGGATGGGGGGCAGGGGGAGGATGGGAAGGGATGGGAAGGGGAAACAAAGGAGGAGGCTACAATGCTTGATAAGAAATGTACTCATTATCTTGTCCATGTAATTGTAACACCTCTGTACAGTATTTTCACAAGAAAGAAAGAAAGAAAGAAAGAAGGAAAGAAAGAAAGAAAGAAAGAAAGAAAGAAAGAAAGAAAGAAAGAAAGAAAGAAAGAAAGAAAGAAAGAAACCATTAAAAATAAATTGGGGGAAGATTGAAAGCTCACACTAACAATTCAGTCCTTATGGTTTAGAAATGTAGTGAACTTTTTAGATGCCATGCTTTTTGAAAACCACGAAATACAGTCAAGAAAACAATGGAGAAACCAAATTACTCAAGGTATGAGAGAAAAATAGAAGGACTAATTTATAGCGTGTTAAAAAGAATCAAGGAGACAGTCTAGATGTTAGAGTGAATGCTGTTCATTTTATATTCTTTAAGTCAAATTACTCCACTCATATTTTTGTGTTTATGATGTTGTTCCAGTGTCTTCAACCCAAATTTCAAAACCAAGCGTTTTCAGTGTAGAAGATAATCAAGACCCTGCACTTATTCTCAAGAGAAACTATGAAGCTAGTCATCCAGGAGGACCACAAGGATCTAATGGACAAGGAAGTGTTCACATCCTAGGAGAACCAGCCATGGTTACTCTGCAAGGAAGGCCAGAATATCCTAACCAGCCAATGATACCAGGGAAATTCAATCCACAAGGAAAGCCAGATATTTTGAACCAGCCTGCGGTATCTGGAGCTTGGGATTTACAAGGGAAGCCAGGATCTTTTAGCCAACAAGGGTTGGCAGGGTTGCCTAGCCAGCAAGGGATCGCAGGGTCATCTAGCCAACAGGGTAAACCAGGGTCTGGTAACCAACAAGGGATGTCAGGGTCACCTAGCCAGCAAGGAATTTCAGGGTCATTTAGCCAGCAAGGGATGACAGGGTCTTCTAGCCAACAGGGAAAGCCAGGGTCATCTAGCCAACAGGGCAAACCAGGGTCATCTAACCAACAGGGTAAGCCAGGGTCATCTAGCCAACAGGGTAAGCCAGGGTCATCTAGCCAACAGGGAAATCCAGGGTCACCTAGCCAACAGGGCAAACCAGGATCACCTAGCCAACAGGGCAAACCAGGGTCATCTAGCCAACAGGGCAAACCAGGGTCATCTAGCCAACAGGGCAAACCAGGGTCATCTAGCCAACATGGCAAGCCTGGGTCATCTAGCCAACAGGGCAAGCCTGGGTCATCTAGCCAACAGGGCAAGCCTGGGTCATCTAGCCAACCACGAAAATCAAGATCTCTTTACAAGCAAGGAGAAAGAAAACATGCAGCCAACCCTTTGAACAGTAATAAAATGGATACTCAGGTTAGTGGTACTAGCTTTTCTTTTCTAAGTCAATTTGCTTCAGTCACTCTTATTTTCAAAGACTAGAAAAGGTTAACTGAGCCTTTTTGTATCAACGGCAATGTGTCATGAAACTGATTAAATAAGATGAGAGGAACATTGGAGCTGATGATCTTCACACAGTCCTGATGATTGTTGAGAGTCCTTCATCTTTATCCCATCCTTCATTTCCCTCCTTTAGTGTTCTCCATTCAAACCATTCTTCTTAAACTGAATAAACTTGGCTTTCCATCAACCATTCCCCTGCCCATATCAGGATGAACTTTCATGCCCAATCCTGTGCCATCCATAATGTATCCATCTTTTGGCATTTTGAAATTGAAAATTCTGATTTATTGTTTTCACCATCTCAAAATTCTTCAGTGGTGTAGTTACCTATAAGATAAAACTTAAACTCTTAATCATAGCATTTAAGTTTTTTTTTTAATGATTAGTCCCATGTAAGTCATACAACTTCATCTCACGTCACTGTTACTCACATGACATCTATTTTGGCTTTTTCCACTAATATACTAGTGATACTAATGATTTTTTCCACCATAGAATTTGTTTTCTTGTATACTTGATTGGATTGGATTATTTTGCATACTTGATTGTATTACACTGTATTGTATACTTGGTTGTATTGGGCAAACTATGAACACCTAAGGAGAAAGAACCATTTCTTTTTAAACACATATCACCTGAGCTTGTGATAACTGAAATTCACATAAGAGATTCTCCTCATTTTCATGTTAAATTAGATTGTTCCTTTGGAACCATCTTTCCACAAAGAAGAATCCATCTGATCCTCAGGTCTCCACTTCCAATCCCTGCTTTTTGTTTTGTTTTGCTTTATATTTGTGATACTACTGGGGCTTGAACTCAGAAAGCTGATGCTCTTTCTTGGCTTTTTCACTCAAGGCCCTACCACTTGAGGCGTACCTCAGCATTTTACTGGTTAGTTGAAGATAAGAGTCTCACAAACTTCTTCCTGAGCTAGCTCAAAGCACGGTTCGATTCTTAGATTTCAAGCTCCTAAATAGCTAGGATTATATATATGAGCCAGGAGTACCTGATTCCCATCCCATTCTTCCTCTCTGACAATCAAACTCCTACTTTCAATTGACAATGGCTAAATATTCTATGTTATATTCATACCTGAAACAGTTTTCTAGAATTCTCTCTCCATCTCATCATGTTAAAGGAAAAGCTTTTTTTAACCTTATGAATTGTCCATCCTTATCACTTTCTCAAAAGAAAGTTATTTCTTCTCCTTGGTGATTGTCTCTTTGGTGGCATGAAATATTACTCTCCCCAAACTTCTACCTACTGTATCTTAATGCCACCATCAGTGGCTCTTTGGGATATCATGTAACTTCCGTAAGTTTATAACAATTCTAAAATGGGAAAAATATCACTGTACACTTCATAGATAATAAAATAAATTGTCGTGAAGAGATTGAAAGTTTACATCAATGGACAATATTGAAATATTTTGGGGGTACTAAAAACACTCTTACTTACAACTTCTCATCATTGTTACTACTATCCTGTTCTCACTGATTTGCCAAAGCTTCATCATCATGGGTTTTTCTAATTCCATAGATGATTTTTTTGCTTCCTGCGTACTTTTCTTTCACTGGTACAAAAAAGTGGGGGGAATCATTAAATTTTGACTATATGTGCTTGATCTTTTTCAGTAGGACTTTCCTGACTATTGTTTTATCTGTATAAGGGAAGACATCTCTCCAAAGAATTTAAGAGAAGGGTGTCTGATGTCATAAGAGCAAGGGATTTTGGAGGCTTAGATGGATTAAGTACAAGGAATCAGGAAGATTATTTTATAATGTTTAATATTCCTTACTAATAAATGAGAATCTAATGTTTTTCATAATAGTGTCTGAGTTAAACTGATCAATCTTTACCTCATGGTCTTTCATATTACAATAGATTAGAAGCATCCCCACAAAGAACCCAACTATAAATACAATGTGTGAATCTATCTACAAACCAGTCTGTGGTTCTAATGGCAAAACCTATGGGAATAATTGTCTATTTAAGGAAGCAAAGAGGTAAGAGAGCTTTGTTTTCCTTTTTTAGCAAGATCACTATTCTGATTCATAGGGAAGAAAGAATTGTGTCGTGTGACTTTATCGTTGTGTGACTTGGCTTCCAAAAAACATACCTAATTCTTGAGTTGTAAATTCAGCTACTTCCTGAGGGAATGGCATTTATTCATATGTTAAAGTAGGAATTTATTAATATATTAAATTTACCTTTGAGTTATTTACCAAATATTTATTGAACATCTACCTTAAAATTAGAAGTAAACAATAGACAAAACATACAAAAATAACTATTTGCCTCAGTTTTAACTTTTGCAGCAGAGAAGAAACAAATGATACCATAAGACAAAAAAAAAACCACTATGAGTCCTGGATAACTAATTGTTGGCTGCTAAATTCTATTCTAATGCTAATGACATGAAAGATACTACTTGGTAAACAATCTAGCCCTTCAAAACTTACTATCTCAAAAAAACTAAAATGAGTTAAGGGCATTTCAATAGGTAAAATGTTGTTAAAGAGTTAGACACTTAAGCATTTAGAATTTTTGTATGAAATGAGGGGGAGAGGTCAGAATAATATATCTCTTTTGGTTTCAGAGTTCCAGAATTTACTAATTTCTTAACAAATCCTATTCTAAAATAGGTATTAAGGTTAAAGGTCTCCTCTATTCAGTTGGAAGTAGAAAAGACAACAGACAACAATTACCTCATATTGTGAAAAAGATTTGAGCAGGGATTGAAGAAAACAGAAAAGATGCTCCAGGCACTCAGCAAGAACCAAGGGAGCCAGTGTCTAGTCTTGCTTTTCTCAGGCAGTTTTCAGTAATCATATTTTCTCTGTGTAATGGTACCAAATCAGCTAACCCTTGATTTCTTTCTGTGTTCTTCAGTTTGAGCAATGGAAAACTGAGCTTGAAGCATGAGGGGAAATGCTAGGCATTGATGTGAACCAAAATACCTGGAACCTTAAACTACTCCTGAAACTCTGCTTTCATAATGGATTTCCTTTGGAGTTCAACAGCAAAGTCACCACAATCTTATAGATACCACACATTCTACATCTCTTCCTGTTTATCTGACACAAATAAAAACAGTTCCAGAGTAATTTCTGATTTCTGGTATTTTTTGTCCATATTTTCTTATGAGTGTTTAGGATCTCTGTTTAGGATCTTTCCTTTCCCAAAGTGTCCAGAGAGTTATAAATTCTGGCATCTCCCTCAGTGCTAATGTTTTAAGGGATATAACAGCAATATAAATGCTAATAGATTAAATCTCCTACTTTGAGGATATTGATGGGAGAGCCAAAGTAACTACAGTGTTAAAGTTCATTGCAGAGTTTTATAATATAGTATCAACGTATTTTGAAAGAGAAAATTGTGACTGAATGTATGCCAAAATGTACAATTTGAATTAAAAACTGAATTCTTAACTGTTTGCTACTTAAGGCTAAATCATGAAGAAATAACAATATATAAGCAGACTTTGTGTAGTAGGATTGAATCACTAACCAAAGACTTTAAACAAAGCAATGTGTTGGACTGATGGGCTTCATTGGAATATTACACCAAAAATTAAAGGGAAAATAATCTTTCTCAGACTCATCCTAAAAAATATTGAGGAAGAGAGAAAATGCTTGTCAATTCACTTTCTGAAATCTGAATTGTTCTTTTGCAAATGAGACAACCAAACTAAAGGAAAAGAAAACTATAGACCAATGTCCCTTATAAATACTTATAAAGACTTATAGTTTATTCTAGTTAAGACTTAACCAGAGTTTCCAAGTAATTTCAGGCTCACACTCTAATTCAGGTGTCACACTCTAATTTTCTGTTTCCAAAGCCAGTAGAGACCAGCACTTAAGTTCAGAAAAGAGTAATTACCAATAAGATGGACCAAATAGAAAACATAATCCTGTGACTAGATAAGATTTCCTTTACCTTGATGATATTTGAATGACGTGTTGGATATATTATTTGAAAGGACATTGGTTTCTCTAAATGTTATGGCAAGGTATATGATGAAGCATGTTAATATATGGATAATAATAATTCGCTTGACCTTGATATTTCTTTCCTTTTACTTTGTAAGATCGGGTTTATATCCAATGACCTTGCTTTATTGTTTGCTGTGTGTTAAATGCAGCTAGAAGTTTGTCTTCTTGACTTTGTAGTTGTGATCAGAGAGATTAACTATTAAGAGTGAATATATATTCAAATATATATATATATAATCTAGGTATATATACTTACAAATTTATATATACATATATATATATATATATATATATATATAACTTGATGAGATTTTGATCTATAACATGTTATCTGTTTTAGGACTTTTTTCATATAATTTTTTCCTCTGGTGAAATTTTCTACTTTTTTGTTCTTTTTAGTATTTTCTTTAAGAAGTTGCACGAAAGAGTTGCCATTTAACAAATCAGTTTATAAACAGAGTATATCTTGATCCATGTCACCCCTTTTAACATCCTCACCAGGAATAAAGATGTGGTCTGTGTGGATGGTGGTTGCACAATTTTATAAACACACATCAGTCAAACATGTTAGTTTGTGTCTCAAATCTCTGTAGGGACACACTATGCATGTATGGTATTATAGAAAGAGTAAATTAGTAGGCAAAATTATTTTCTTTTTTAAATTTTATTTTATTATAAAGATGCTGTATAGAGGGGTTATAGTTACATGAGTAAGGCAATGAGTACATTTCTTGTCAAGCATTGTTACCGTTACCCTTGTTGTTTTTCCACTATCCCTTCCCTCCCCCTTTTTTGTCGGTCATGGGATTGGAACTCAGGGCCTGGGCACTGTTCCTGAGATCATTTGACCAAGGGTAGTACTCTACCACTTTAGCCACTCTATCACTTCCAAATTTTTCTTATTAGACTTGCACCTGTCTAAAAAAATTTAAAGAATTTAGTAAAGGAAAGAGTAGGCACAGTAAGCTCAGTTGGCATATTTAAATGGTCATTTGCTAATTTAAAATTTATTACTTGCCAGGTACTTGTGGCACACCCTGTAATCCTAGCTGTTTTGGAGCCTGAAATCTGAAGGAGTGAGATTTGAAGCCAGGCCAGTCAGCCAAATCCAAGAGATTCTTATCTCCATATAAATAGCAACAAGCCTTAAATTGAATTTCAGTTCAAGTAATGGAGCACCAACGTTGAGCAAAAAAGTCATGCTAGAGCTCCAGGCCCTGATTTTAAGACCTAGGAAACAAAAACAGATGTACGTGTGCATACACAAACACACACACACACACACACTCACACACACACATACACGTGCATGCAATTGATCACTCTTCAAGATATATTTTCAGAAGTTCCAAGTTATAAAACAATTTTAACAACTAGAGCATATTGTGCAGTTTAGCAATGAAAAAATAATCACATGAGACATATTTTCTTCCCAACACTGAGAACTCAGGGTAGAAGCATGATGGATTCCAATTTGCTTTACAGATTTCATATGGAAAACAAAATACATAATTGACTTTATTGTAGTCTATTATATATGGAACCATGTTGTGGGAATTTTGATTTACAAATCAAACATGATATTTTTCCCCACTGCAAAGTGACTCATTGTAAAAAAAAGTTTTCTGATAGGAATTCATATTTCAGTATATTGATATAGTGTCCTCTTCCCTCTCCTTTGTTAAGGAAATTGTAGATGATGGAATGATCACTTTATTTGGCTGATAAAGAATCATAATATATTGAGCTCATTAATGATTCTTGTCCCAGAAATATCCGAGGGAGAGTTATGCTCTAGATTAACAGCAAATGACCCATTATATTGTGGTGATCTTATTTTTTTCTCATCTGACAACATTAACATGCCATCTGTGAAAAATAGATGTTTTTACTGATTCAAAGTATGCATCAGTAGTAGTTTGGGGTTTTTATACACCTTCCTAGTATCTTCAACTTCAAAGACACATAGATAGTTTCAATGCTATGTTGGTAAGAAATGGGAGTATGAAAATAGAAACCTCCCAAAACTGAACATCCTAAAGCTTCTTTTAAGTTCTTCCAAAGTTTTCCAAATTCAGAATTCTGTTTGTCCTCTGTTAGAAAAGCTTCCCTATCTGACCTGACTATGACAGACTTCCTGAGATTTTGTTCTCTCTTTCCTCTGCTGCTGCCTGTTGAGGAATTTGCTTTGTTAGAGTCATTGTGACAAATCATTTATGATCACATTGTGACAAGCTTCAGCACAAAGCTCATTTAAGAAAGAATCCAAATGGAGGTCCATTATCTCTTATTCTCTCCTGAGGTAATACTTCAAAGTTACCCTTCTTAGTCCTTAAAAAGACAGCCACACATTGCTATTGAAAGTGAGAAGAAAACATGATTTATGGGGTAGAAAGCCAAGTTATAATCTGAGGAATTATTATATATCTAGATCGTATCTTAAAAAGTTGGTTGAAAATTATTTGACTCAATTTCTCTTCTGGAACTTAAGGAGAAACCATTTACAACATGTTGTTTCTATCGTTGCTAAATCAATATCTTACTTTTTGGGAGAAATTTCAAAGTGTGAGGAAAGGACACAAATGAGTCATCATAACAGCTCTATTGTAATTTCTTCATAAAAGTTGGCCAATGTAAACAGAAAAGTAAAGAAAACAGAAAAAAGCAGTTCATTATATAAACCTTATAATCAGGCATCTTTAGAATACAGAACTTGTGTTTGACTGAACTAAGGAATTTAATTCAGAATTTATGAAATGGCTGTTGTTTGGAAGACAGTCTCAGACAAGAATGATTGTAATTGCTTAATTAATGCATAGGAGAATGAAGAGTCAAGAATGTTAGCACATGCCCGTAATGTCAGTATTCAGGAGCCTAAGGCAATAGGATCCTAGGCGGAAGGCTATCCTGAAATATATGAGATGGACAGACAGACAGATGGACAGACAGACGGACGGACCGAAGGACAGACACACAGGCAGATGGACAGATGGACAGACAGGCAGACAGTT